TATTTCCTGCAATTCTACACATTTTGTCATGGGGTGCAAAGATAATGTTGCAGTTTTAAAGGAAAATTTTCTGGCAATTCTATACATGTTGCCATGTCTAATGTGTATTCATGTGATATTTGAGTGACAAATAAATTACAACAATATCTATGGGCTAAAAAGCCTAAATTAAAAACGTGTCAGCTGACATGGGCTAGTTGATCTGGACAGTTATAAATAGCTCTCTAAGGTATGCAATGACTAACATTACAAGAGAAACTGATGATGTACTACCCAATTCGAAATTGCACCTTGTGCATTCTACTATTACAGTAAGTTTAAAGCCCCACAGTTTGGGAACCACTGCTCTAGCCTACACCTTAGAGACTGCTGCCCTATGTACATAGTCATTGAACACTGGTCACTTTAATAATGTTTACATACTGTTTTAAGATTCAACAACTGAGACATAAACTGAACAAGTTCCACAGACATGTGACTAACAGAAATTGAATAACGTGTCCCTGAACAAAGGGGGGTCAAAATCAAAAGTAACAGTCAGTATCTGGTGTGGTCACCAGCTGCATTAAGTACTGCAGTGCATCTCCTCCTCATGGAGTGCACCAGATTTGCCAGTTCTTACTGTGAGATGTTACCCCACTCTTCCACCAAGGCACCTGCAAGTTCCCGGACATTTCTGGGGGGAATTGTCCTAGCCCTCACCCTCCGATCCAACAGGTCCCAGACGTGCTCAATGGGATTGAGATCCGGGCTCTTAGCTGGCCACGGCAGAACACTGACATTCCTGTCTTGCAGGAAATCACGCACAGAACGAGCAGTTTGGCTGGTGGCATTGTCATAATGGAGGGTCATGTCAGGATGAGCCTGCAGGAAGGGTACCACATGAGGGAGGAGGATGTCTTCCCTGTAATACAGTGTTGAGATTGCCTGCAATGACAACAACCTCAGTACGATTATGCTGTGACACACCGCCCCAGACCATGACGGACACTCCACCTCCAAATTGATCCCGCTCCAGAGTACAGGCCTCGGAGTAACGCTCATTCCTTCCGACGTTGTTGCCGGTGATGTCTGGTGAGGACCTGCCTTACAACAGGCCTACAAGCCCTCAGTCCAGCCTCTCTCAGCCTATTGCGGACAGTCTGAGCACTGATGGAGGGATTGTGTGTTCCTGGTGTAACTCGGGCAGTTGTTGTTGCCATCCTGTACCTGTCCCGCATGTGTGATGTCCGGATGTACCGATCCTGTGCAGGTGTTGTTACACGTGGTCTGCCACTGCGAGGACGATCAGCTGTCTGTCCTGTCTCCCTGCAGTGCTGTCTTAGGCGTCTCACAGTACGGACATTGCAATTTATTTCCTTGGCCACATCTGCAGTCCTCATGCCTCTTTGCAGCATGCAACTCGTTTTTCAACCACTCCACAAATTTCTTGATAACAAACTATAGTTTTGGCAAGTCGGTTAGGACATCTACTTTGTGCATGACACAAGTAATTTTTCCAACAATTGTTTACAGACAGATTATTTCACTTATAATTCACTGTATCACAATTCCAGTGGGTCAGAAGTTTACATACACTAAGTTGACTCTGCCTTTAAACAGCTTGGAAAATTCCAGAAAATGATGTCATGGCTTTAGAAGCTTCTGATAGGCTAATTGACATTTTGAGTCAATTGGAGGTGTACCTGTGGATGTATTTCAAGACCTACCTTCAAACTCAGTGCCTCTTTGCTTGACATCATGGGAAAATCAAAAGAAATCAGCCAAGCCCTCAGAAAAACAATTGTAGACCTCCACAAGTCTGTTTCATCCTTGGGAGCAATTTAAAAATGCCTGAAGGTACCACATTCATCTGTACAAACAAGTATAAACACCATGGGACCACGCAGCCGTCATACCGCTCAGGAAGGAGACGCGTTCTGTCTCCTAGAGATGAACGTACTTTGGTGCGAAAAGTGCAAATCAATCCCAGAACAACAGCAAAGGACCTTGTGAAGATGCTGGAGGAAACAGGTACAAAAGTATCTATATCCACAGTAAAACGAGTCCTATATCGACATAACCTGAAAGGCCGCTCAGCAAGGAAGAAGCCACTGCTCCAAAACTGCCATAAAAAAGCCAGACTACGGTTTGCAACTGCACATGGGGACAAAGATCGTACTTTTTGGAGAAATGTCCTCTGGTCTGATGAAACAAAAATAGAACTGTTTGGCCATAATGACCATCATTATGTTTGGAGGAAAAAGGGCGGCTTGCAAGCCGAAGAACACCATCCCAACCGTGAAGCACGGGAGTGGCAGCATCATGCTGTGGGGGTGCTTTGCTGCAGGAGGGACTGGTGCACTTCACAAAATAGATGGCATCATGAGGAAGGAAAATTATGTGGATATATTGAAGCAACATCTCAAGGTATTGGAGTGGCCATCACAAAGCCCTGACCTCAATCCTATAGAAAATGTGTGTGGGCAGAGCTGAGTTTAAATGTATTTGGCTAAGGTGTATGTAAACTTCCGACTTCAACTGTATATATTTATTATGGACACAGTATGCGTTACATTAGTTGTTCTCTTGTTGTTATTAGTTGTTGTTAGTTGTTATTAGTCCCATCCTTCAGCTGCATTCAACACCTCCCATCTAGCTCTTAATACCATCCATATTGGTTTTCTATTTGCCATATATTTTTCAACTGTACTGTGATGTTTCACAAAAGTTCTGAACCGTTCTATTTTGCAATCTATATGGGACGGCTGTCAATCCTTTGGTCCTTAAATGAAACTGGTATACTTTTTTATTTATCACAATTTTCTTTAACCAATTATGTTCTTTAATGCAGGGCCGACAGACAAGTTATTTACTTTTTCCCCCTTCCACTTTCCTCTTCCCTTTTTGCGGTAATGCTGCAATTATTTGGTTGTAATTTTGGGTAGAGCAGACATTTCCATATGTTTTTGTTCTGATATTTCTTAATGTTTTGGGGATTTGTGTGTATTGTTTTGTATTAGGTATTACTGCACTGTTTGGAACTAGAAACTGCACCTGGAATAACATCTGCAAAATATGTGTACGCAACCAATACAATTTTATTTTATTTCATCTCTCTCTGCCCTCCCCTCCTGTGTGTTAGGGCCGGCTCTGCTCTCTGCCTGTAGGCGAGGGAGAATTCAGACAGGGGTGGGGGCTTTCCCCACAAAGAACGGGAGCTTTGTCCCCTGAGGGACAGAGCCATAGGCTGACAGACAGTCTGGCAACCTCTAATTCTGACATGGTGAGAGAGGGCGATGGAGAGAGAGAGAGACTGAAAGAGAGAGAAAGAGAGACCGAGAGAGAGAGAGAGAGACAGAGAGAGAGGGGTAAAGAGAGCGAGAGAGACGCAGAGAGATATGGAGGAATAGCAGCAAAGCTGCAACTTGCAAGACAATACAACTCATGATTAACCTGAAACATAGAGTTTGTGGTATTAAAAGCCATTTAGTTAGTTACTTGGCATCATAAAGACAGTTCTCCTCAGACACTAGGCCTCCTCTTAAGAAGGGCGCATTAAGGGACTACTCCGTCTATGGGTTCTTCATAACATACACTAGTGTAGGATGTCATTATTTGGAGACCTAAACCAAGTCAAGTCGTTGAGTATTTTCCTCTTGGCAGCTAAAGTTTATACCTATGTTTATGTTGACTAAATTTGACACTCTCTCATTGACCTCCATACAAAAAAATACCCACTTGGTCTGCTTCATGCTTTATTCTTGCGCTGACAGATTTTGGGGTGGAGTCAGCCCTTTCGCTTCGCCTCTTCCTTTCTGGTATCCTGGGAAACTCAGACCCTGGGGGTAAATCAGGGGTCAACTACACAGGGTGTAGAGGTCAGGAGCTCAGGGGGGGTTGCGTCAGAGGTGGCTGGTGTATAAGTGGGCAGTTACTTCCTACTTTTGAAAGACGGTCCCCTTTATACAGCATAGTACAATGTGATGGTCCCATGTCGTGCATTGATCTAGTTAGCTATCAAAGTTTGACTGACAAGAAACCTTCACTAATGTTTGCACAGTCATGTAGAACAGCACTGGAACAGATACATCAGTTTCAACTTACTGAGGGAGACAACAAAAATGTAGCAGTATGATAAACATACCTCGACTCCACAGGAGGTTGGTGCCACCTTAATTGGGGAGGACGGGCTCTTGGTAATGGCTGGAGTGGAATAAGTGGAATGGTATCAAACACGTTTTCAATGTGTTTGATGCCATTCCATTAGTGCCGTTCCAGACATTTTTATGAGCCGTCCTCCCCTCAGCAGCCTCCACTGCTCGACTAGTACAACAGCTGCATAAACACATACAAAATGATCAGGTACAGAGAAGCATACAGAGGTACAGAGAAGCATACAGGAGGTACAGAGAAGCATACAGGAGGTACAGAGAAGCATAATACAGGACAATTGGTCAAATCATTCTAGCCAAATATCAGCCAGCGGTAAGAATTCTCTATCTACATGAGAACTGCCTTCGGATCACTGTAGAAAAGATGCCAAACCAGGCTAGTGAGAGAAAACTAGCTGTAAGCCTGGAAAAGATCTCTCCCTGATTCCCTGGGTTTTGCAACCCTCTCCACATCCTCTGTGGTGTGACCTTACAGAGTCTCGTTTTTCCCTCACTCCTCTCATCCCCTGGAGTTGTTCAGGACCTTATCCTCCTGCTCTCTGTTCCACACAGCATATTATTACGGAAATATTAGTTGAGTGTGTGTGTGTACATACTGTCTGTGCATGTTTGTGTATCCATGCATGTGTGTATCCAAGCCAACAGTTACCCACAGGGGCCAGCAGTGTGTGTGTATGGGAATCCCATGCCAGCTCCTACATGCTCCCCACTCTCCTCCACCACCCTCCCCTCCCTATCCCAATCAGACCCTGGGATCTCAGGATGCAGCCTGCCCGGCATTTCCAAAATAAAGAAGAGGGAACACAGAGATAGAGGGGAGGCCAGCTACCCTCACCCCTCCTGGGCCTATTGTACTCTTATCACAGCCAGCCAGACACTGTGCCAATGGAAACGCAGCTGAGCCTTGCCCTGAGTGACCTCCTCCACAGAACCTGGCACTGCCACCCCATCACAGGTGATTCCTGTCAGGCAGCAACACACTGGTATTGAAGATGTGTCAGTGAAAGGATAAGGACAGGTTTGTTCCTATTGAGGCTGAGGGAGTTTTTCCTTGCCACTGTCTGTCGGCTGTGTTTGCTACTGTAGATGGGGGTTTGAACATTGTTGTCTCATCCAACAGCGACAAACAAGAAAGGCTATGAACTTTGTGTTGTAAAAAACTTTTACTGATTGATTGATGAAGATAGAAGATGGGAATTAACCTACAGCAAGGTCATTTATTGAATATTTAAAATGACTAACTGGCCATAACTGTCAAGCCCCATTGGTATCTCTAACCATTTAATTTACATACAATTCCTCTAGGATTTACTTTCAAATGTCCATATCAGGGCCCGTATTCATACAGCGTCTCAGAGTAGGAGTACTGTTCTAGAATCAGTTTTGCCTTCTTAGATCATTATGAATAAGATGACAGGGGGACCTGATCCTAGATCAGCACTCTTTAGCCTAGTATTGTTTGTATCCAATGATAGGCAAAGCTAGTCTATTGCTGCAGCAGCCCCTGCTACAGATAATAAAAGTCAACATGCCAGAGTTGATCAAGTTCAAAATGTCTCTACTTCCTGGTCTGAATACCTCATGCCGCCACTGCGGGCTAAATGTCCAAATTGCCCTCATAATTCCCCTCAGTGTACTTGGGAATGTTGATGTGTGTGAGAACTTGGGAATGTTGATGTGTGTGAGAACGAGTGTGTGAGTAGCGAGAGACTGTCAGTGTGTTTGTGTGAGTGCAGAGCAACACAGGGGATGTTTTCAGTGTGCTGCATTGGGCGCTAAGGACCCTGAACGAAAACATACTGGTGGTACACGGATGTATCAGATGCTTGTCCACTCTGGGGGGGAAAAAAACATGTTAATCCAAGATCTACTTAAACTGTGGTTCTTCTTTAAAAAAGGCCTTTAAGTTTAGTTTGACTCCACCAATGCTTAGTGTGGCATTTACCATGTGATTTCAAACTATAGTGTACATTTATAATGTGTGTAAATATACTGTATGATAGCCAATGTGTTTATGACTGATTGTGTGTGTCTGACGGCCAATGTGTCAATGCCTGACTGATAAGGGGGCCCAAGGTATGTGTGTGTGTGTATGTGCTCGCTCGTGAGTGTTTGTGTATGTACACACACACTCGCTCGTGTGTGTGTGTGCTGGTACTGGGAATGCGAGAGGAAGAGGCTCCTTTCTGCTGTATCCTACTCTGTATTTACTTTCAACAGAATTCCAGTTATGGCCTCTGGCCTGCATCCAAGGCCTTCCTCTGTGTGCACTTTCTTCAACGATCCTGTTTAATCAGCATCTTCCATTTGTGCAGTAAGTACAATAAGCTTCACTGATTTGTAACTACAACACAAAGCTACAGGCTTTTATCTTTTAAAACCTCTACAGCTATAGAAAGTGCATTTCACCCTTAAAGGACAAATGTTCTTTTTTACAACCAAATCTCTATTTTTGATGTAAATGGCATGTTATAGGGTCCAGACATCTTTTTGTGATTTCACGTTTTTGAGAAACTTACACCAAACAGCAAATCACTTCCTCATCCTTGCTATGTTGTATGGGGGCCCCAAGAAAACACTCAAATACGTCATTTTAGAAACGGAAAAGCTATCAGTATAGTGATGCAGGTCTTTAGATGTTCTACACATGAAATTGTGCCATTCCGAAATGTATCTGCAACGTTATATTCCATTTTGTCAGGCCCCCATACTACACAAGGAGGATGAGGAAGTGATTTTCTGTTTGGGGTAAGTTTCTCAAAAACATGTGAAATCACAAAAAAGGTGTCTGGACCAGTGGCGTGTATTCATGGATGCCAAGGGAAGCCAGGCTCCCCAAATATATATATATAATATTTATTTTCTGTCTCTGTGTTTTCATAATTTTCTGTCAATTCACAAGTGGCTGAATCTCAACTGAGAAATCATCAGAGCGAGGGAAACAGTGCCCCTCTGTCTCAGTATGTGTAGCCCATGTATCTGATGCTGTCTGGACCAAAAGAGTATAACATGTTGCCGCCGTAGCATTTGACTGACTGATGCCAACAAGCATTTGGCCTCCCTTGATAAAAAATAACTATAAAAGAATTAGCCGTTCAGCATTGAGCTGAGCTCAACTGTGGGTTGTCCTGGTGGCCAGTTTGGATTTGGCTTCAGACCAATGAAATTACTTCCTTTGCAAAATGTCATTTTCAGAAAAACGTGTCAGTTTCTGGTCTGCTTGTGTTGATGTCCTAACTTGCTAAATCGTCCCTTTCCTAAGCCATGGATGGAGATGGGGATTTGGACTTGTAGTTTTGACTTAATTCTCTGTACAGGCCAATGATTATGACGGCGATTCTGATCTAACCATAAATGAATATGTTGTGCCACTGGCCTGAGACGATTGAAGTTCAATATGTAGCCAAGTAGGCTCACGTTAACTAGCTAACGTTAGCTAGCTAACTTAGTGGTTAATTGTTGCCCATGAGAGGAAGTCAGGCTAGCAAGCATTTTAGCTACAACAAAAACTAAAAAGTGTACCGTATGACAGCGCCATAGACGTTTTGCCAACATGAAAGAGAGAAGGATGCCATTGGCGTTCAACTAGTCTACAAGTAGGGTGAGTCAACATGTTTTGTTATACTTGCACACGCACCACAAATCAGTACGATGGACAGCCAACATGATATTTAGCAACATTGATTGGACTCAATTGTTTTTGGTATCTTTAAGTTCGTTTTCAGTGTATTAAACTAAGCATACCGTATATAGCCTTGTTGATTTGATGATGTTTAAATGTTTAAGTTGAAATGGTGCTGGAATAGTGGAGGCAGTGTCTGTTGTCTTTGTGCTGACTTGCAGTAACACTAAATCAGTAGTTGTTTAGTAAACTGTCGAAAGCATTAACTTGCTTGACCATGCTGCAGGTGATATACACTATATATACAAAAGCATGTGGGCACTCCTTCAAATTAGTGGATTCGGCTATTTCAGCCAAACCCATTTCTGACAGGTGTATAAAATCGAGCACACGGCCATGCAATCTCCATAGACAAACATTGGCAGTAGAATGGCCTTCAACGCGGCCCCGTCATAGGATGCCACCTTTCCAACAAGTCAGTTTGTAAAATGTCTGCCCTGCTAGAATTTGCGCCGGTCAACTGTAAGTGCTGTTATTGTGAAGTGCAAACGTCTAGGAGCAACAACGGCTCAGCCACGAAGCGGTAAGCCACACAAGCTCACAGAACTGGACCGTCGAGTGCTGAAGCCCGTAAAAATCGTCTGTCTTCGGTTGCAACACTCACTACCGAGTTCCAAACTGCCTCTGCAAGCAACGTCAGCACAATAACTGTTCGTCGAGCAGCTGCACACAAGCCTAAGATCACCATGCGCAAGGCCAAGCGTCGGCTGGAATGGTGTAATGCTCGCCGCCATTGGACTCTGAAGCAGTGGAATTGTGTTGTCTGGAGTGATGAATTGCGCATCACCATCTGGTAGTCCGACAGACAAATCTGGGTTTAGCGGATGCCAGCAGAACACTACCTGTCCCAATGCATAGGGCCAACTGTAAAGTTTGGTGGAGGAGGAATAATGGTCTGGGGCTGTTTATCATGGTTCGGGCTAGGCCCCTTAGTTCCAGTGAAGGGAAATCTTAACGCTACAGCATACAATGACATTCTAGATGATTCTGTGCTTCCAACTTTGTGGCAACAGTTTGGGGAAGGCCCTTTCCTGTTTCAGCATGACAATGTCCCCGTGCACAAAGCGAGGTCCCTACAGAAATGGTTTGTCAAGAACGGCGTTGAAGAAATTGACTGGCCTGCACAGAGCCCTGACCTCAACCCCATCTAACAACTTTGGGATGAATTGGAACGCAGACTGCGAGCCAGACCTTGCCCAACATCAGTGCACAACCTCACTAATGCTCTTGTGGCTGAATGAAAGCAAATCCCCCGCAGCAATGTTCCAACATCTAGTGGAAAGCCTTCCTAGAAGAGTGAAGGCAGTTATTGCAGCAAAGGGGGGACCAACGGTCTACAATGGTCTAAGGCACTGGTCTATGGTCTAAGGCACTGCATCGCAGTGCTAGCTGTGCCACTAGAGATCCTGGTTTGAATCCAGGCTCTGTCGTAGCGGGAGACCCATGGGGCCGCGACCGGGAGACCCATGGGGCGGCGCACAAGTCGTCCAGGGTAGGGAAGGGAATGGCCGGCAGGGATGTAGCTCAGTTGGTAGAGCATGGCGTTTGCAACGCCAGGGTGGTGGGTTCGATTCCCACGGGGGGGCCAGTATGAAAAATAAAAAAATTATGTATGCACTCAAGTCGCTCTGGATAAGAGCGTCTGCTAAATGACTAAAATGTACTTGTCTTTTTGTTCTAACGGCCTTATTGTATATCACGGTTGTTATATAACAAACGACGCAATTATCACAACATAGGTTCTAATATGGCTTTTTTGCTGGCTTGGCTTTGCTTCCTCAGTGATTTTACCCACGCACTGCTACTGGTCTGGACCCTTCTATAACATGCCATTTACATAAATAAATTGAGATTTGGTTGTAAAAAATAAAACGTATCCTTTACTCACAGCTCTGTCGTTGCAACAGTCCACTAAACAATGCATTTAATTAACTTTAAAATCATTGTTATCGTGTAGTGAACGTCTTTATCTGTAAACTTGACAACATTCTCCTTTCACCTACTGTCTTACTGAATCTAAGGCCTCGTTGTGGTTCAGTGGTTTGTGGCCAATTTTAGAATCTCGAACCTCTCATTATACTTTCAATGGCCGCCAACTTGAATAGTGTGTACCTTTCCTTGATACTTCCCTTGATTCTCCTGTACACTTTAAAGTGACCAGTGAAACACTGAAGGAAGATCTCTTTCTCCCTCTCCTCTCTAAAACACAGATCTCTCCTTCCCCAAACAGCAGGATAGAGATGAGTAGAGGCAGGCCTGGGACAAAGCTTCAGATAATAATAAAAAAACATGAGGTAGGAGGTAGAGAGGGACTGTTGGTTGTGTCGCTCCATATAGCCTATAAACCCTACATTTAAAAAAGCTTTTTCTTTGCACAACATGGGTGTTTTCCAGTCCAGTGGGTTCGTTGATGTCTGCTCAGTCTGAACAGTGGGGGGCATTTCCATCTAAAAGTACAAACAATTGAAGTTCATAGGAGCATATCAAATTTGGTGTCAAATGAAAGCTAAGAGTCTATATTTTGGGGATATGAAGGCATAGATACATTTTTCAATCATTTTCCATCTTAAAAATTTGCTATAAGTAAAGGCTTTGATTTCTGGATAAACAGGTGGAAAATGGGTCGTACAAAACATCTACCAGAAATAGTCTTAAAAGGTATCAGAAATACATCAAAACACAATAATGTTGACATAAAGACCCCTGCCACCTAATATCAACATTTATATATAGTTTTGGAGAAATCGTTTACCTTCTGTAAGTTTAAGAAATATTGCCTTGTAATTCCGTTACCAAAAACCTACATATCTTTAAGATATTTTCTAATTTCTCTCCCTCATGAGGGAGGATAATGAAAGTTTAACAAAGTAACGGTAGACCTACCATTGAACTATTAAGTGAATTAAACTCATAATTCAGTAAGGGAATTTCTGCAACTGAACTGGTAACAATGGGAAATCATAATAGTCACAAACTACAGTTGGGTCACCTGCTACTGTTCTCCCTTCCACTGGCATACTGTTATGTTCAGCTCATAATGGTTTTATTTCGCTTTCTGGTGGTCAAACAAAGTGTTAAAAACCTCTCCCTCTCCCTCTACCTCTACCTCTCCCTCTCCCTCTCCCTCTCCCTCTCTTTCCATTTACTGTAACCAGTATCCTCAACCACTGAGCATGGACCGACACTGGAAGTCCATAGATGTTGAAATGTAGATTAAATGTGGTCAGTCCACCCTGGCCTTGATGTTAATGTCCACAGACGGACCAGACTGGACCAAATCTGAACCCATCATAGACGTATATTTCACAAGTTTGGATAGTAAAGCAGAGTACAGTGAGTACAATAAAGTACAGTACAATACAGTAGTACAGTACAGAAAAGTAGATTATAGAACAGTACAATACATACAGTATATTGTACTGTACTCTACTCTCTGATGTGCTGTATTGTATTGCACTCTACTGTACTCTGCTGTTCTGCGCTGTGATGTCGAAACTTTTGAAACATGAGGAGAATGACATTCATATCCATAATTATGCATTTCTGTTTAGTACAGGTCAGATACATGATGAAATTCTGTTACCGGGTGTAAATCCACTTCACTTACTGGAGTTCAATAATAAGAGATTTTTTCAAGGTGTAATGTCATAGTCTCCATTATTTCTGCAGACATCTTTCAATCTTAATTCGTAGCGGATATTTAAGAGTTTTTGGAAAACGTGGTTGCATAAAATCCTGAGGGAGAGTTTATCGAAATTCAGTTACCAAAGTTTCATCTGCACAGTTCTTCCACTAAATTAGTTTTTGGAAATGTTTCATGGTTTGTTAAATTTTGAAACCAATGGTCTTTGTTTGGCAGACATTTTAAAGTGAAAAAGTAATTGCCCTGGGCCATGAAGAGAGTAGAGGGTTGAGAGAGGAAATGTGCAGTGGAACAAGTGAAAGAGGATTGTGCTTTGTGAGAATCAATGAAGAAGATGAAGGTGACGATGTACTGAAACAGTGATACTTTGGCCTAATTAGGGTTAGGTGTGACCGAAAACCTTGAAACTGGGTATAGAACTACTAACACCGACCTACCAAGGCCCATATTCTCAGAAGTGGTGTCGGTGTCTAGTCAAACCAAAAAAATAACCTTGATATTTTGCGTAACGTAACATGGCTGTTCAGAGGGATTCTTTGGTGATTTGAACGAACGATAAAAGAGGGGATGTTGAACAATAACAAACCCTGAACATTGCTGAGCCGCTGACAGGGATTATCGGATTTGTCAAAGGTATAATAATGGTTTTGCCTCCGTGTGTGAATTCAGGTGGCTTTGTGTTTTGACTATCAAGGTTACTTAGACACTCTCAGCCTGACAGTTCCAAGAACCGTTTGTTATGGATTGAGAGAGTTGAATTCTCTCTTTATCACCTTCACTACATCTATTTGATGTGGCTTAATGACAAGGTCCATGGTATATGGCTACGTGGCCAGAGCTAGAGCCCAAAACACCTACCTAAGCCTACATCACTGTTATTCCAACAATCCAGTGCATCAAAGTCCAAAGAGTGAATTGTGACGGACTATAAATGCACCCACTAGAATTCTTGACCTTTGCTTGCGAAGCAGCTGGTCTCGTTATTGAGAAATGCTCACTAGACTTTCAAAATCAAGTTTCAACTTTTATTAATCATATGTACGGGATACGCATGGAATACATCGTCCAACGAAATGCTTACTTTCAGGTTCCTTCTGGACAATGAAACAACAATAAGAAATAATAATATGAACATAAAGTAAATGGCTCAGTAGAATAGAATAATACATTTGAGCAAGTATAATACAGGAAGGCACAATGTATAGTCCAATATTTACATGTGTATTGGGGAAGGGGGTCAAGTGTATAAATTGAGCAGTATAATACGAGTCTGGTAGCAGAAGTTGTGATGTGTGTGTTGCAGTGATGTGTGTGTTGCATTAATGTGTGTGTGTGTGTGTGTGTGTGTGTGTGTGTGTGTGTGTGTGTGTGTGTGTGTGTGTGTGTGTGTGTGTGTGTGTGTGTGTGTGAAATTGAATTTGTCTGATAGGTGGGATGTTTGTGCTTGTAATTTGTGAGCTATTAGAGTCAATATTCTAGTGCAGAAGGGAGAAAAGTGAGCTTTGTCAAAGGCGAAGTGTGTGGTGTGGTGTAGCTTGTGGTAATGCAACAAATACCCTAGCCTACAGTGCACAATGTCCTGACAATCCTGCCTGAGGCCTGTAGGTCAAGATCCCAGCAAATATGTAGCCTACGCCCATTTCACTCCGAGCCAAGTGAACTGGTGAAACTGAATTTGATAGTTTGTCATGGAGCTAAGGAAATGCCAGTAATTCACCTGTTTATGACCTTCTAGCTCCCCACTAGGTGTTGTCTATAACAATGTTCTAACCACAGTGCATCGTTAAAACCAACTCTGGACATAGACGGGCCTAGTGCAGTGACTTACTGTTGTTAGACTTAAGGTCACGGTGGATGACAGGAACAATGGCCTCCGTGTGCAGGTAGAGCATGCCCCTGGCGATCTGCACCGCCCAGTTGACCAGGACGTGCGGCGGGATGCGGCGTCCGGCCAATGCTCGGCTCAGTGCGCCACCAGATGCGTACTCCATGATGAGGCACAAGTTGGGTTCCCGTAAGCAAACACCTTTGAGGGCGATGATGTTGGGGTGAGTGAGCATGGCAAACAGCCGAGCCTCCTGGCGCACGTTCTGGGCCGTCACACTGATGTCCTCATCCGGGTCCTGGCGGGCCGCCTTCACGGCCACCAGTCCACCTCTCCATGTACCGCGATACACCTTGCCGAAGCCTCCGACCCCAATGACCTCCTCGAGGCTCAGTTCCCTGAAATCCACAGCCTCGGGTTCGAACTCCCCCACCCCCACCACGGCTGGCCCAAGCTCCCCGACTCCACTGCCCTGCAGTTTCCCATATGAAGGAGGCTTGAAGGACACGTAGTTTGAGGGAAAGATACCCACTTTGTTGTTGACCTTGCCCGCCCACCAGCCCTCGTCACCGGATATCTCTGAGTCCAGTGACAGAACTTCCACCAGGTCACCTTTGTGGAGGGTGAGCTCGTCTTTACCGGACGCCTCATAGTCGAATAAAGCTGTCCACACAGGATTGGTGAAGTTTCCTTTTTGCGATTGATCCAAACCTTTCCAGTTCAACAGTGGGCCGCGGCTAAAAATGGTCTTCAGTGGCTCCATGGAGCCACAAGGAGCAGATGTTCAGACACTAGGTTTGATTCTGTACGATTTTTAAAATAAAGTACTTTATTGCGCCTCTCTCCCTTTCCTCTGTGTCTAGTTGGTTCATCAGGGACCAGTGAAATTTGTTCAAAGGCCTGGCCAACAGGAACACAACAGTGTTCAAAGATAACAGGATAAAAAGTGCCTCTCATGCGACTCGTCATGGACTGCTTGTTTCCATTGGAGCTGGTAATGATCAAACAAAGGCCATGGATGTGACCAGTTCTGCCAATTGTTCCAATTTGTAAAATGGCAGAATTGTCTCCATAAAGCAAGTTTCTACTTGACTGATGTGGTGTCTCAATGCGTGGTTTGAGCACATAACTCACTTAATTACTCAATTATTATATCACACATACTCACATATTAACCAATGATTATGTGCTGAGATTGAGATTTGAAATAAAGGGGAACTTATTCCATTATAGCAAAACCAAGACTGTGCAGAGAACTGGATGGATCAGTCACTAAAATTAGCATCAGGTGGTTGTAAAATATCCAGACCATTGGACAATAATAACCTCAAAGAAGGAGCTCAACTTCATTTAGTTGTCCATTTAGAGTTTTCTGTATTTTTAGCCATTAAGTGCCGTGGCTATCATAAGCAGGAAGCGCTGAAAAGAAGAGAAGAATAGCAGGAAATAAGCATTCAGTCCTGCGAACCCCGTGCTTTACCGCAAATTTCAAAGCTGACCAACTCGCCCTAAACCCACATCACGAACAACGGTGTCTGGCCGAAACTTCTTTGCGTTCTGTCAACTATTCTCACATCCGTTTGCCCAACTGTATCCATATTTGCTGTCTCGCCCGATGGTGATATACAATGTCTCAATTGTACAAATCTGTATATTCAATAAGAACTTTATATCCACCGAGTTCCCAACAGGAAGAACAGTACGATCCTGCTTATGAGTCTACTTTTTAAAGAGAACCGCACACCGAAAACAAATAATGTATTGTCCGTCGTGCGTAACGATACTTTAGTGCCAAGCTCCGACCAGCTCGTTGTTATTATCGATGTCCAAAAAGCGTCATGATAGATGCGTTATTGTTATCATGTCCCCACTTCCTTTAGCAGTCTTCCCTCGTCCCGTTCTCGAACCACTCTACAACTGTGCTTACAGTCAAGAAGAGGGTGGGGTTGAGTAACTTTTTTCCCAACAGGAAAAGAAAGAATCATGTGTGTAATCATTGGGCGATTTCGTGTTCCATGGTCCGGTGCCCCTGGGCGGAGTCAGTATATGTTTGACCATTCCATTGGTCCTTAAGTATAATCTCCACTCATCCGGGACACCGGGACATGCAAAACGAACTCGCCCATTAGTCCAAACTTCTTCCGTTTTGCAACTAAAACTAGAGTTTATTTTGGACAAATTCAGTTAGGTCCCTCCCCGTTTATTTTCGTTTGCTTCCATTTAAGAAACGTTTTGCAACATAAGCGGCGTAATGAATACGCTCCAGGTGACAGAAACAACGCAACTCTTGTTCTGGAGGAGGCAGCAGTAATATGCGGAGTAATTCCCGTGTTCTATATTTGAGGTTCACTAGAATATGTGTGTGACAAATAAATACGCACGATTTTTGGCCCACAGAAGAATGGGCGTGGTATTAGGCCGTTAATTGTTATGGGCCTCAATTGGATGGGGTTTTATGTTTCCTTGGGGCAAGTTAGTGGTCCAACGTGCAAATGTTGTAATATAAATATCATCATTCAGTTCATAAGGCCTATAATAGGTTACATAGTCTCCAATAATAATGAGGTTGATGATACACTGTGTTTATTTTATCCTTTATTTAACTAGGCAAGTCAGTTAAGAACAAATTCTTATTTACAATGACGCCTACACCGGCCAAACCCGGACGACGCTGGGCCAATTGTGCGCTGCCCTATGGGACTCCCAAGGTTGTGATACAGCCTGGAATGGAACCAGGGGGTCTGTAGTGACACCTCAAGCACTGAGATGCAGTGCCTTAGACCACTGCGCCACTCAGGAGCCCTGAGTTTGGTGTAATATGCAAAAGTATGCATAAAGCACTTATCACTTTGAATAAACATAAAATATGTCATGCTATTGGGGTCTGAGACAGACTAAACTTTTCTACCTAGGGGGCCATTCGGAGGAGGGCACCTTTGCCCTGTGATGCTGTGTGGAAACAGTGTGCTTCCTTCTGAGGCCTTTGATGGCTCCCCTGCCCCATGGCAGGCCTTTGTTGCTCCGCCGCCCCCGAAAGTCAATCCCCTCCCATAACCCCGGCCAAACACCCCTGCCTGCCTCCCCCATCCCCTGCTACCCAGCGCTGACTCTTCACTTGTGCAGGAAGAAGGCAGTTGTTTTTGTGGCCTGGTGGCTGAGACAAGCCTCCTGCTACATTTACAATATGAAACCAAACTCAGGGGAGGGAGGGAAGGGTGTGGGTCCACAGTGCACACAGAGAACGAAAAATGTACTGCATTTTCAGAAAGAGTATTTCCTTTGTGCAGTGTGTCTAATCAAAGCAATCTTCTCTCCATGGGAATCTCTCCCACAGAACAGACCTGTGCTGGCTTGCACTTCAATCACCTTGCTTACTCTGTTGATGATGACATGGCCTTGACAGGGGAAAACACACATCACATCAGCTGTGGTAACAAACGTCCATTGTTAAAAGTTTATACACACTTCATAGGAGTACTAATGCATGGTTGGCCATTTCTTTTGTCTATACCCGAGAGTCTGAGACAGGAAGTATTTGGAGGAGACATGAAGGCTGCTTAGAGAGAAATGTACAGATTTTCCATATGGGAATGTGAATGGGAAGCTCAGAGAATGTAGGATGGGGATGGGTTGAACACAAAGGATGTGTTACACTACTGTGAAGTCGTAAGGTGAAGCCTTGTGCAATGTTTCGCTTAGGTGCAAATGGAATGAAGTTCATTGCCAGTTTCAATGGACTCAACAACAAATAGCTTATGGCATCGTGGCTTGTAATGTCACAGATACGCTTGGTAAAATATCTCATGCCGTTTTATGTAAAAGAAAAAAAAAAAAGTTGGGCAGTGTTTTATTGAAATCTGAACTTTATTTCACCCATACAAAATAAAAATAATGTTAAAAGTTTACATACAGCGTCAGATTCAACGGCCTACCTTCAAACATTTCATATCAACACAGACACAGAAACGGGAGACTTATCCTTCTCTGCTTTTCAATGAGTACATTAAAACTATCTAATAGAGAGAAAAATAAAAACAATACAAAGGATAATTTTATTCCAAGTGAGGGGAGGGTACGTTATCTTTTTGAAAACAAATTACGCAAATTATAGGTGAGAAGGAAGGGGGTGAGGTTTAACAACTTTAAAAACAAAGTTACAGTCCAGGAGGAGCATCACAGTATCCTTCAGATAAGAATAGCCAGCACAGACACATCTGTCTTCAAGAAGGAGATAGTTGGGGTGAGGGGGTACAAAACAACATATTTCATGTCATACCTCCAAAGCAGTGACTTGTCACCCAAATTTCAAATGAACAAAAACATCCAATCAGAGTTGTAATGACATGTGAATATGGTTGACGTAAGCTAATGGACAAGGTCTTCATGAGGATAAATTATCGTCATAAAAATGTGCATTAAAAGGGGAAAAATCCACAACTCCGCAGTCACATTGAGAAGAATTCATAACCTATAGTAAAATACATCTCCTTACCAGTTCATTTTGAGGGCCTATGTAGCCTAACAATTGGAATAGCCACGTGCGATGACGACCAAGTCTGAAAGCAAGACCAAGATCTAACCGCTCTGCCAAGTTCATAATAACCCTCACAGACAATAATCTCATCTCCCTTTGCTATAGGTAAGTGCTGATCACTTTCAAAATACAACCAACTGCTGCTCTGATTTCATCTCGAGAAGGGGTGTGTACAGTATTCTATGAGGCTATGTTAGGTTGCACAGGCATTATAGTTTGTTCATCTCAACTGAACTTGAGCAGACGTTGAAGAAGTGGACATGGAACTGGAGTGATATGTTCGTTGAACACCAATGACGTATGCAGAAAACAAAGAGAGAGATGAGAGAATAACCAAAGTGCAAACTACAATGGGGGACTTAATCAAACCGGTCCTTGGGCTGGGCCGGGGGCCTTTCAGAACATCAACTGCAATTTTTTTGTAGTCCAAATATAACAACCACCTGTTTTATAAAACAACCTGGTACATTTTTTCTCCACAATAAAATAAGAACAAAAAATTATTAAAACACAATATACAACCGATTACTGGTCTTCAGTGGTGCAGGCTGTCGTGTCTACACGCCTTACTGACAGTTGTTGGAGGCTTTTCCTTAACAATGGGCTGCATGTGAGCGTCTGCTCAGACTCACCTCTTTCTCAATGCAGCCACATAAAATAACAACTTAAGAGAAAATGAAAGGTAAAAGAGTGGGGGGAGCTAAGAGTCATAGTCTTCATCATCATTGTCTTCGTCTTTGTGCGGCAAGGAGGGGGGAGGCGGGGGTGCGGTGCCCATCAGCGAGGGGTGGGGGGCAAAAGAGCCCAGGGGCATGACCAGGCCCCCTTGTGCAGTGCCCATGTGGAGGTACTGGGGTGGCATGGCGTCTGGGCTGTGGCACAGGGCAGAACAGGGGACAACGCGTTAGTAATAGTACCCCCGCACAACAGGGTCATGTTCAGTTAAGAAAATGTTTTGAAACTGAGTGAAATGGTGAGGTAATGCCTGAATACGACCCAGGAAAGCACATTAGCAAAGAGTACAGTTGGGTTGTGGTTAACCGTGTGTGTATGTGTCCATGTCCATTACCTGTGGAATCGGGATTGCGGCTGCAGGTTTGTGCTTGACTGAGACCCGTCCTCCTCATCCTCGTCTGTCTCGCTGTCCTCAGAGTCATCCTGCTCCCATGGCAACAAAAAGCTAAATAAGCCTCTGAAATCCTCACACCTCTACCCTATCAAAACTCCTCCCTTTTCCCCCCCATCACACCTGATATCACTTCAATTGGCCACCAAGCCAAACTAACTTTAACATTTCCCTCTATAAAAAGTTATTGTTATCTAAGCTAAGGTTATGCTTCGTGGCTACTAAATTGAAGGCCAACACCCACCTCTTGCTCCGACTCTGTGCCTGATAGCTTCTTGTCCTTTCCCTTGGAGCCAGCTCCTCCGTTCTTGCGGCCTGACCCCGGCTTTCGACCTCTGGAGGACATCAAGTAAGTACAAAGTCAAGATGGCATAATTCACACATTTTCCAACACACAAAGCTTTAGGGGACCATCAGTAATATCCTATCCAAGTAAACAGTTGGTATCATTCAGAGTCCGTTACCTGCGCGCAACCTTTTCCCCTCCCTCTGCGTGGTTGTCCTCTCCCTCGCCCTGCATGTCCGGCACTGCCGCTACCAGGTCCTTCAGGAAGTCAAACTGCTGCTCCAGTTCAATGCACTGTTTTCTACCAAGACACACACACACATTGTTTAAAACATAATACTTTCCCATAGCTTCAAAAGCACAGAAGGGCAAGAATGCTGAAAATTACAATCTGTAGTCCTACCGACTTTTATGACCAACACTGATAACTGAATACATGACTTACAAGTGTGAGGTTGTCATTGTTTTTGCGTTCCGGGACTGGGTGACTTGACAGGCTTTCGTCAGGAGAGACTCCAGGAACAGCTCCAGAGCTCGTGCTGGTGGTTGAATTAAGGAAAGGCAAAAGTAGCCACTGGCCACACAGGACCGGGGTGTTTTTTTGTCTTCAATAACAGTTAGACATTTCACAACTACACAAGAGTGATTACTAAACTTACTAGGCACACAACCCCTCAAAAGTAAAAACAGTGAGTCATATGAATTTCATTCAAACTGCACAACACAAACAATTAACCCTACAATCTCCATATTGTCATTGGCAAAAATACATGTTTTGAAATGCAGTTACTTGGAACATGCAATGAAATACAGATGAAGCGTTCAGGTGAGAAGAACGGATACATATGATGACAGGAACTGCGGCAGCCACTTTGCCTATCTCTTCATCAGTCTGCATAATCTTCTTAATCCTCGCCTGTAATCGGAACGGGAAGAGGTCAGTGAGGGAGTGCTTCGAAGATTTGACTACCATTAGAGCATTTGCATAATTGCTGAGTTACTAATTGATCAATCAACCAACCACACATGCCCAGCACATTGACCATAGTTAGTTGACAAAGAAACTAGGCTATAGACAGAAATGCCAAAAGAACTTTCAACTAGGTCTATTCCCATCCGTTTGCATCATCTGAGGATTTAGGTACTAAGCAGAAGTGATGACCTTGATAGGTAGCTAAAAATAACACACTCACACTGGGAGCTAGTTTTCTTTTCTTATTTTTTTTTTTAAAGGGGTAGATCAGCTTTAATATTTCAGATAGATTGTAACTTCCATCAATGTAATTGTCTGCATCACTTCCAATCCCCCATATGTTTTTTCTCTCGCATATATATATATATATATATATATGTGGTCCTCTGTAGCTCAATTGGTAGAGCATGGCGCTTGTAACGCCAGGATAGTGGGTTCGATCCCCGGGACCACCCATACGTAAAAATGTATGCGCACATGACTGTAAGTCACTTTGGATAAAAGTGTCTGCTAAATGGCATATTATTATTACATATACATGCATACACACACACACGCTTTTTTAAAATTATATTTCCCTTCATTACTTTCCAACCCCACCACCCCTTCCCCAGTTGGAGTAAACTAGTGAACAACAACGCTTAGGCCTCTACTTCCAGCCCATACATACTATATACATTTATGTTTTACAAAAGTTCTGAACCTTTCTATTCTCAATGTTTCTACAGATCGTAAATTGGGAGTTAGTTGTTTGTTATGGTTTTGATTATATAATCCATAGGCCTATTTCTTTTGAAGCTGTAGCTACCTTTTGTCCTACCAAGCTAAAGATACCACCATGCACCTTCTTGGCTTCTGCCCGGTCTGTTTCGGCTCATCTCACATGTGAAGTCAGGGAGGTGGTCAACAAAACAGACTTCTAGCTACCCCGCTCAGCACGATCTGACAGTAGTGGCAGCAGGTACACTATATATACAAAAGTATGTGGACACACCTTCAAAATAGTGGATTCGGCTATTTCAGCCACACCTGTTGCTGACAGATGTATAAAATAGAGCACACAGCCATGCAATCTCCATAGACAAACATTGACAGTAGAATGGCCTTACTGAAGAGCTCAGTGACTTTTACTGTGGCATCGTCATAGGATGCCACCTTTCCAACAAGTCAGTTCGTCAGATTTCTGCCCTGCTAGAGCTGCCCCGGTCAACTGTAAATGCTGTTATTGTGAAGTGGAAACGTCAAGGAGCAACAACGACTCAGCCGCGAAGTGGTAGGCCACACAACTTCACAGAACGGGACCGTCGAGTGCTGAAGCGCGTAAAAATCGCCTGTCCTCAGTTGCAACAGTCACTACTGAGTTCCAAACTGCCTCTGGAAGCAACATCAGCACAAGTACTGTTCGTCGGGAGCTTCATGAAATGGGTTTCCATGGTCAAGCAACCGCACACCAGCCTAAGATTACCATGCGCAACGCAAAGCATCGGCTGGAGTGGTGTAAAGCTCGCCGCCATTGGACTCTGGAGCAGTGGAAACGCGTTGAGTGATTAATCACGCTTCACCATCTGGCAGTCCGACTGACGAATCTGCGTTTGGAGGATGCCAGGAGAACGCTACCTGCCCCAATGCATAGTGCCAACTGTAAAGTTTGGTGGAGGCTAGACCCCTTAGTTCCACTGAAAGGAAATCTTAACGCTACAGCATACAATTACATTCTAGATGATTCTGTGCTTCCAACTTTGTGGCAACAGTTTGGGGAAGGCCCTTTCCTGTTTCAGCATGACAATGCCCCCGTGCACAATGCGAGGTCCATACAGAAATGGTTTGTCGAGATCGGTGTGGAAGAACTTGACTGGCCTGCACAGAGCCCTGACCTCAACCCCATCAAACACCTTTGGGATGAATTGGAACGGCGACTGCGAGCCATGCCTAATCGCCCAACATCAGTGCCCGACCTCACTAATGCTCGTGGCTAAATCGAAGCAAGTCCCCACTACAATGTTCCAACATCTAGTGGAACGCCTTCCCAGAAGAGTGGAGGCTGTTATAGCAGCAAAGGGGGGACTAAGTCCATATTAATGCCCATGATTTTGGAATTAGATGTTTGACGAGAAGGTGTCCACATACTTTTGGTCATGTAGTGGTGGTCCTCTGTAGCTCAGTTGGTAGAGCATGGCGCTTGAAACGCCAGGGTAGTGGGTTCGATCCCCGGGACCACCCATACTAAAAATGTATGCACACATGACTAAGTCGCTTTGGATAAAAGCGTCTGCTAAATGGCATATTATTATTATTATTATTATTATTATTATTATTATTATAATAGTGTATCATGACATTCTTAGGGGGACTGATTTGTTGACAACTTATGCTAGTATCTGGCTAGCATTTCCAAACTAGCTAGCAACATCCTCCACTTTTCCCGATCATGTCTAACTTATTCTGAATGATACAACCCCTTAGCAGGCCTAGCTAATACTTGTTTTGGACAATAACCAAATCTCGTATATCAGTTAGTACAGCTAGCAAACTTGCTAACAACAATGAACAAACTAAGCTAGCAAACCTTTTTAATAGCTACCCTCCCCAAAATAGTGGCTGGCTGGCTAGCTAACTTAGCTAGCTACCATTAGCTGGATAACAATGCATATCTACAGCTAATCTACGAAGTAAAGTTAACTAACTAGCTTTATCTTATTGTCTGTTAACTAACTAGCTAGCAACCTACCTAGGCCAAATCCTATTAATATGTGCACTGTTTATGTAAAGTTAGCAAGCTAGCTAGCATTCCACATATTTAGATAATGAAGTTAGTTAGCTTGCTAATTAGCTATCAGCTTAGTAAGCAAAGCTTTAGTAACTACTTACCGGAGGGAATCTGGCATTGTATTTCTTCTTTTTGCTGGGCATTATTTTATAAACTGGCTAGCTAACTTAAAACAATCTTCAATATTTTGTTATTATATGTCCCTCCAACCCGCACCCAAGTGGGTAGCTAGCTAGCCTAGCAAGTAGCAACGTCGTCTTCTCGAGATGTTCCGCAGGGTCTCACGTTCCGTCGGATTCTTCTACCCTACACTCCGTTCAAATAGACAGCACGCTAGTATTAAATAATAAACAAACACAGATTGTTGCATTATCAAAGTACTGTCGCGTTGAGGTAAAATGCAACATTGCCAGCTCAACGTGACAAAAAGTTAAAAGCCGACCCAACTGTTACTTTGCTCGTTTTCTACTAGATAACGTTAGCTAAGCTATTGTGTATACGGGGTGTTTCAATAAAGTTTTGCTAGCGACATTGAAATCATGATGGAGGCTTGAGCAGAAATATTGATAGGCGGCCAGCTACCCCCTAGACTTGGTAGCTGGCATATAAAACATATCGGTACAGGGAAACATTTCATTATTATAGCTACTGTAAGTTGTTCTATGTTCATGCAAGTATACTGAACAAAAAATATAAACGCAACATGTAAAGTGTTGGTCCCATATTTCATGAACTGAAATAAAATATCCCAGAAATTGCAGTCGGAGATTGCAGAGTGCAGTATAACTGCAGTACAGTGTAGTATAACTGCAGGATGCTGCAAATACTGCGTCCAAAATAACACTTTTTTTTTTACTGCAGTCATTTTGCAGTGTAACTGCAGTATAACTGCAGTTCAACTGCAGTACACTGCGTTCAAAATACCACAGTCGACTGCAGTTACTGCACTTTTATGTCTTTTTTGTAAGGGAACGCTTATTTCTCTCAAATGGTGTGCACAAATTTGTTTACATCACTGTTAGTGAGAATTTCTCCTTTGTCAAGATAATCCACCCACCTGACAGGTGTGGCATTTCAATAATAATATCATATGCCATTAGCAGACGCTTTTATCTAAAGCAACTTACAGTCATGTGTGCATACATTTTTACGTATGGGTGGTCCCGGGGATCGAACTCAGTACCCTGGCGTTACAAGCGCCATGCTCTACCAATTGAGCTACAGAGGACCACAATCAAGAAGCTGATTAAACAGCATGATCATTACACTGGTGAACCTTGTGCTGGGGACAATCTAAAGGCCACTCTAAAATGTTCAGTTTTGTCACACAACACAATGCCACAGATGTCTCAAGTTTTGAGGGAGCGTGCAGTTGGCATGCTGACTGCGGGAATGTTCACCAGAGCTGTTTCCAGATAATTTAATGTTAATTTCTCTACAATAAGCCGCCATCCAACGTCGTTTTAGAGAATTTGGCAGTATGTCTAACCGGCCTCACAACCGCAGACCACGTGTAACCACGCCAGCCCAGGACCTACAGTTGAAGTCGGAAGTTTACATACACTTAGGTTGGAGTCATTAAAACTCATTTTTCAACCACTCCACACATTTCTTGTTAACAAACTATAGTTTTAGCAAGTCGGTTAGGACATCTACTTTGTGCATGACACAAGTAATTTTTCAATAATTGTTTACAGACAGATTATTTCACTTATAATTCACTGTATCACAATTCCAGTGGGTCAGAAGTTTACATACACTAAGTTGACTGTGCCTTTAAACAGCTTGGAAAATTCCATAAAATGAAGTCATGGCTTTAGAAGCTTCTGATAGGCTAATTGACATAATTTGAGTCAATTGGAGGTGTATCAGTGGATGTAGTTCAAGGCCTACCTTCAAACTCAGTGCCTCTTTGCTTGACATCATGGGAAAATCAAAAGAAATCAGCCAAATTGTAGACCTCCACAAGTATGGTTCATCCTTGGGAGCAATTTCCAAACGCCTGAAGGTACCACGTTCATCTGTACAAACAATAGTATGCAAGTATAAACACCATGGGACCACGCAGCCGTCATACCGCTCAGAAAGGAGACGCGTTCTGTCTCCTAGAGATGAACGTACTTTGGTGCGAAAAGTGCAAATCAATCCCAGGAAAACAGCAAAGGACCTTGTAAAGATGCTGGAGGAAACAGGTACAAAAGTATCTATATCCACAGTAAAACGAGTCCTATAT